CGACCTTCAGCGCTTCAGCCAGTCCCTCCTTCTTAGTGAGAATAAGATCCAGCAGCGCTCCTCTCCTACTAGGCTCACCCACCATTTGCATCACGAAGTTATCATCAACGCACTGAAGGAACCTCGTGGACTGTGGATGGCTGGCTGAGTAGGCTTTCCAGCAGACATCAGGATAGTTGAAGTCCCCCATGACAACCAGGGCCTGCATTTGCGAGACCGCTGTCAGCTGCCTGTAGAAGGCCTCATCAACCTCCTCATCCTGATCCGGTGGTCTGTAATAGACACCAATAACAGTATCACACACACCAGATTGTCCTTTAATTCGCACCCGCAAGCTCTCAACTTGCTCCTGATCCGCCCCCGGACAGAACTTAATGCACCCTAGTTGCTCCCTCACGTAAAGAGCAACTCCACCACCTTGTCTTGCTGGCCTTTCTTTCCTGAAGAGGACATAGCCATCCATGACCACATTCCAGTCGTGTGAGCTGTCCCACCAAGTCTCAGTAAGTGCTACCAGATCATAACCCCCTGATCGACACAGATTTCTAACTCCTCCTGTTTATTCCCTATGCTGTGTGGATTGGTGTACTGGCATTTCAGAGAGCCAGCTGAGCACGCCAATTTCACTCTAGGGGAGTGGGAGGTCAGAGAAAGAATTTTTGTAGCAGTCTTTCATGGCCTTAATGAAGATGGGGGTTACTTTTTCTCATCATTTTCTCATCCAGATTAATTCAAGAAAATTTTTGTTCAGTAATTCTGTCTTATTACTGAGCAGGTCTTATTACACATAGCAGTGTAAATATTGCTTCGTTCTTGGAAACGGGAAATAACTGTCTGAACAGATGTATAATGCTTCACAGAATCTGGAGAGTTGGTTGTCTCCTACTGTATAAAATAGAGGATTCGTTCAGAATGTCAGAACTTTCCTTTCCTTTCTGTCTGTGAAGCCATGCCAATTCTACATTTCCTTCTTCAGAATATTCCAAATTCTTCCTAGTGCTTATGCTTGCATAAACAACACAAAGTGCTTTGAAGGAGCAAATATTGTACAAGACAGGACCCAGGCTGCTCCCCTCCTCTGCCAGGCATTATTCTGAAAAACTAAGTAGGGAAATGAGTAAACTACATCGTTAAAAGTGGTGTGGTCAAACACAGAAAGGGCTTGGCTGAATTGCTTAAGTGAAGGTGACTAATGCCACTTGAGACCCTCTGCATCATGTGAGGCATCTGCAGAAGACTAGCAGATTTAATCTGTAGGAGAGGCAACTGATGGCCAGACAAGATGCCTTGGGATATCTCTCTGAGATTGTGGAGAAAGCTTGTAATGCAAAATCTCACCACAGCTTATTTTAAGACATGACATTTTAGTTTTAGCCAAACAAAAACGATTTTGAGTTTGTACCACTATATTAACAATGCTGTGATGCTGTTGCTTGTGCCCAGAGGATATAGTATTTTCTTCTTATCAGTCTTATAAGCTTCAGTCAATCTGCTTCATTATCTTTAATGAACATGCTCAGAATCCTGTCTGGAGCTGATGTACATCATAAGTGATGTTACTTTGTTGTTTTACTTAACATCTGTTTCTGGAGTTGGTAACAGTTTTGTAAGACATGACTGAAATTGCCAGTAGGATAGAAAGAGAATGTGTGAACTGAAGAAAAATTAGAGATTAATATTGATAGTATAGCATGGAAACTGAAATTATAGCACCAGTAGGAACAAACGTGTCTTGATGACTATTACTACCCACCAAGCTGAACAGAACAGTTCTTTTTTTTCTTCATGATACTGGGCTGTATACATCTGTAGAGCATAATCTTATCACACTACTTTGACGTTAACCCAGTATGCAATATTTAGATTCCATTGACCCTCAGTGTCCCTATATCATGAATACACAAATCTGTTTCTTTGAAGCCTGTTATATGTGGGCTCAAAAAGAGGGGAAAGTGCATGTTCCTCCTGCTTCTTCAGGTTCCTTCTCATGGCTCAGGTGGGAAATTAAGTGCCAACACTGTGAAAAAGTGCAGGATCAATATGGAAAGAGTATTGGGCACAAAATTGGAAACTAGGCAGATGACTTTCAAATATTTGGCCAAAAGTTTCTGACTTATTGAAACTGATCCTTAGCTGTCTCTGTCAGAGTATCTTTATTGTCTCTCTCTATTTACATTATTAGCTTTCTAATCCATTGATTTACAGTTACTATTTTCCTGATCATAATTTAGGATATATTAGTGTTGTGTTGCAGTCTTGCTGCATCAGTTTGTAATGGTTTCTTAGAACAAACATATTCATCTTGCTTTACCATCTAATCTAACAATTGTTTGGTTTGTTTTAGAGGCCATAGTTATTACATTGGAGATTCCCAAGCTTTTTCATACCCTGTATTATCCTCACACCTTTCTTCTCACTGGTCACTGAGCAGGGAATGCCCTTCTGGTGGCAATAGCATGGTATCCCTGTGAGAACAACCGCTTCAAACTCTGTCTCGTGGAAAAGTAATGAATGTCCCCTATGTTAAAATTTCTTGTAATGTGGTATAACTATAAATAAGGATAAAACACAAAAGTGTGATCTATTGATGTGCGGAAACAGGCTCCACAACTCGGAAAGTTGTAAAGTAGGTATGTTTATTGCAGCGCTGGGTGCACGGGGGATCGCTCCACCACAAACGTGCACCCACGCCGTAGCAGTTTTTCTTGTATTTATACAGACATACTCATCACCCCCTCCCCCAAAAGGGCAGTCTCTCCCTGGAGATCATTTCCATAGCCTCCACCTCAGGATCCGCCTCAGGCTCCTCCTTGACACGCCTCCTGGTGGTCGTGGGCAGGGGTCTTTGGGATGAAGGCCATAGGTCTTCCTCGCTGTGTGTTTTCACTTCTTCCCTAAAACTCTAAAACTCTTGTTTTGGCTGGGCCTGTAGAGCCAAACCGTCTCCCTGGCCTTGAGTGGACATCTGGTTGTCTCCTACTTGTTATTGCTTGAAGACAAATGTTAGTTCTCGTTAGTCCTTATCTCTCCTCTTTGTCTGTTTTTCTCCCTATGGGTCACGAGTTACAACCTTGCCATCATTTATTTTGTCTCTCTTACCGGCCTTCTTTTCGGGTAGTTAGTGTTTCAAAGCAGGGATTAGTATTTGATAACTTCTAGCAATTCACAGAGCTATTTCACAGAGCTATGTATTTCCCAGAGTCTTATGCCGTCTTATGCCTATTCTTATACCTATCCATAGAAATAATAGCTAATATAGTCTTATGTAGTCTTATGCCTACTCCTATACCTATCCCCGTATCACTATATGCACTCTTATCAAGTTGACCATGTACCAGATGTCTTGTGTATCGTTTTATTTCTCGTGCTGGACTGTGTGCAGCAGGTGATTATGCTGAATAGGTGTGCAAACATACATGCTACAGGACTGTTCTGTTTGTGCCTTTTTTTTTCAGGATCTAAGAATACGAGCCAGATTACAACAAATGGGGAAAATGAAGGAACTACCAAAATTATTGCACCTTCCCCTGTGAAAAGGTACGTAGACCAGCAGTTCCATTCCAAATTTTAAGAGTTTGTGTATTGCATTGGGTAGAGGAACACATTTAGTAATCATTAGTAGCAGTTTGTCCTGCCTTAAGTTTAGGACTGTCTGATCTCCTGTTGAAGGTCTGCCCAGTATTTCATTTTAACAAAACCTGATCTGCTGAGGAACCTGGAACAGGGGTTCCAGGTGGCACAGAGTTTGGAAACCTGCAAATCAGGACAGGTTAATGAGAAGGCAGTTTCAATTTTAAATACAAAAAAGCTAGATAATGACCCAAGGGGCATTGGTCAGTATAGTCCTGTGAAGTCCTGTGTGTCACTCCCCTGGGAGCTGTGGGCTGGCTGGCTGGGTCCTCAGGGCACAGGTCTTGCCTCTGCATGGGGCAAGCTCTGCTTATGATGTGTGGGCAGGGAAGAGCTGGGCATGGCTTCTCTTCCAGCAGTGCTGTTAATCTTGCAGTCCATTACCTGTTACACTGGTAAATCCAGAAAAAAACTCAAAGTGTTTGTGCCTGATCCTTAGAAGCAATGAATTGCCAGAGCTCTCTGGATTTCTGTGGTCTGCTGTGTTTAATTGTCAGTGCTGAAGTGCACATCTCTGGTTATTAGCCATATTTGAAAGAAAGAGGTGGGTCTCAGATTCAGAAGGGGATTTATATCCCCACCCTTAATTTTAGATGGAATTTGGATGCCTGAATCAAAAAAGAGTGGTCTGACAAAGCAGTGAGTCAAAAACTTGGCACCTGACATTTTTGCTTAGTTGCCGCAATGTCTGTCTCTGCATGCCCAGTAGCCCTGACAAGATTTTTTGAGCTCAGCACCTCTGGTCTTTTATCTCCATTGAAGCTGTGGGCTTCACATACTAGGTATCTGGACTGACCTCTGAAGAAGGGTCTAAAAGATCTACTGCATATACTTGGTAGATGGTGTTTCCTATTGCCTAATGTTTAGAGCAGTTGCCCAAGAGAAGAAGAGCTGAGTTTAATTGCTTCCTCAGTTTGAGGGAAATTTAATCAGATATGCTAGCCCTTAGAAAATAATACAAATCATGGGTTGAAAGAACGTTTGTGAGTTTGCCACTCAGTTATGCTGAAGCTAAGCCATTGAGCAGAAAACAATACAAAGGAGGGTGCACAGAGGACAGAGGCAGGCTCTTTTCAGTGTTACACAGTGACAGGACCAGAGGCAATGGGCACAGACTGAAACACAGGAGCTTCCATCTGAATATCAGGAAACGTTTTTCACTGTGAAGGTGACTGAGCACTGGCACAGGTCATCCAGGGAGGTGGTGAAGTCTCCATCCTTGGACATATTCAAGAGCCATCTGGACATGGTTGTGGGTACCTGGTTCTAGGTGACCTCATGTAAGCAGGAGAGTTGGACCAGATGACATGCAGAGGTCCCTGCCAGCCTCAGCCATTCTGTAATTCTGTGATTTGTTAGGAGAGAGAAAGGTACGAAGCAAGAGGTATCCTTATTCCACAGCGCAAAGATTGTATTGGGAAAAGATAGGAGCCCTTCACTACAGCTTGTGCTCCGAATGCTGTGTATAAATTTTCAGCAATGAACTGTTAAAAAGAAATGGGTAGGCAGGTTGTAGAGCAAGAACCAAAACAAAGGGCTCTCAATATGGCAGCTTCAACGTTTCTGAGTTTAGTTTCTTACCTTGACAGTTTAAAAGCAATTCACAGGCAGATTCTCACAGAGTCAGTTTTAAGTAGTGTTAGTCACTTCCAGCAAAAAAAGTGTGGGAAGTTGTTTTTCTTGCATGCTTTCTATTTAGAAACTGATTTGTTTTCCTTTGTGTCTCTGTCTGCACATGTAAAACACCTTTCAGGTCTGCCAGGCTTAGTAGCGTGATAGGCAGCACACATACTTTGTGAAGTGTTTACAGTTTGGTAGCTTACTCCATCCTGTAATTCTCGCATTAGTTGTCAGTCATGCTTGCAAAGCATCTTTCAGCAGCTCTTATAAGCTGAGTTTTCGTAGTTTAGCATCTCATTCACTGTTGAGATACATAGTTGTTCACTTATGCATAAGTGATGTAAGTTCAAGGTAAACCATAAAAACGCCCAACAACAATAATCTCACGTGAAATGCAGATCTTAACCTTTTCAAATACTTTGAATTAACTCAATCCCTTTTGCAACTGCATTCCTGGAGATAATGCCAGTATCTGAAGAGCTGCCATGCTGTAGCTCTCTAGCTGTAAAGTGTGTGCCTGCTCAGAATGAATAATGACTTAAGAATCTAATGCAGGGAATTCACTTCCCAAGATAATTTCTTTCTCTCTCTCTTTTTTTAAGATTTGAGAACACTACTCGAATTACTTTAAGCCCAACTTCAATCTAAGTGTTTTTCAGTAGTTTATGCTGTGCAAAACTGTTTTCTTTTTGCAATCCAGGACGAAAACATATTTACCTGAATTACATGCTTAGTCTGTAGTAAGCACATATTTTTAAGACTGGGAAGAGATTGTGTGCACATATGAGTTAATAATTAATGGGTGCAGTATTAAGAAAATGATTT